CATCAAACCACTATCTACAACACCCACTACTGACGACTAGCCCAACCCAAGTCTATTTAATACGTCGCACTTGTCGAGGGGCCGCCATCTCTTCGCCGTTGATTCCTTTTTCCCAGAATTGCAGCATCTAGAACTTTTTTTTTAGGAGGGGTTAGATTCTCTTCTACATTGATATGCTCTTGATACAGTAGATCATTTATTTATATTTATTGAATTTTTGGACACCGTGACCTGATTATTTGAAAACTTTTTGGACATTCTTTATTTGTCGCTACTGTTCAACTAGAGGTATATTGTTCTCTCTTATTTTATCCCTCTATTTATCATAGAGTTATTTTCTGTCACGAGTACCCTAGTTTGTTGTTAATATGACTACTACTGAGGGACTTGAGATCTCTATTGTTGACATCTCTACTGTTGACACCTCTACCGTTGAGACCTCTATTGGTACTTTCACTATTATGTTTGACCAGTATACAGTCCATACTAGCACAGTTGCATTACCAGCACTGCTGGACATGATCTCTCAGAAAGTTATGACACAATTGTTGAATGACCGTAACTTCGCTGAGTGGTCTAGCTCATTCTAGCTTTTCTTAGGCCGTGTAGGGAAGCTTGGTTGGCTGACAGGCTCTCACCCAAAGCCAGCTGATGCCGACCTTGGATATTATGCATGGTTCTCTGAGAACTATGCCATTCTTGGATGGTTATTTGACTCGATGAAGCCATCTATTTGCAGGATTCATCAGTTTCATAGCTCTGTTATGAAACTATGAAGTATATTATCAGAGATGTATTCCTAGTCAGGACAGGGAGTACGTGTTTATGAGCTTTCTTAGGAGCTCTCATATGCTCTGTAGAGAGATCTGACCGTTTAAGATTATTATGACTATTTGACCCAGCGCTGGCTTGAGTATGAGACCCTTCGTCCTCTTGCTGCTATTTCGAGGATAGAGCCCAAGGAAGCAGTATTCTTGCATACTCGAGAGCAGGAGGATAGGATTCACAAGTTCCTTATAGGCTTCGTGATGAGTTTGAGGGACCTCGTTCCTAGATCTTGTCGATGTTGATGCTTCATTCCCTTTATGAGGTGTATGCGATGATTGAGCAGTATGAGCGCTGCATCCGTATTGCATTACTTTCAGTTGTGGCCTTGACTCCTCTGGCTGGTCATATGACCCTTGCAGCTGATGCAGGGTCTCGTTCAAGATCCTCAATTAGGGGTGGGTAGTGCTCGGATCAGTGTCGTCAAGGTGTCCCAGATCAGCGCAGACAGGGGGATTCTCGTCAGTGTGATTATTGTGGCCGACCAGGACATCTCAGGGCTACTTGCTGGAAGCTCCATCCAGAGCTTAAACTGTCTCCTCGCGATCGTACTGTTGCCATTGTTGAGATACTACCACCTACTTTCGCTACTCCTACTACTGCTCCTCCTTAGTAGAGTGATATGGATGCTATCACTTCCTGATTGGATATACTTATGCCCGCTTTGACTTCTTAGAGTCCGACTACTACTGCAGCCACGACTACAGGTATACCTCGTGTCTTTCATGCTTGTGCTAGTATGTCTCCCTTTTGGATGCTGGACTCGGGTACGAATGGTTGCATGACAGGCGAGACCCATCACTTCACTACTTTTGATGAGCAGGTACATACACAGGTTCAGTTAGTAGATGAGACACATGTCCCTATTGTTAGTAGGGGTACAGTCCGCCTCCAAGATGGCTTTACATTACATTCTATTTTTCATGCGTCAAAGCTGGCCATGAATCTATTATTTATACTTTACTTAGCCAAAAATTTTTACTGTGCGATTGTGTTCTTATCTGATTTGTGTTATTTGTAGGACCTGAGTACTAGGAGGATTATTATCAGGGGACATGAGAGAGATGAACTGTATTATATAGACAATCCGCCTCTAGTTTCATCAGTTCCTCCACCTACATCACCTACACATGCTTTGTCTTTATCTATTCCTAGCTTGCATGCTAGTATTTTACCTAGTAATTGTCGTTATGATTTTTCGTCATAAACTGTTCAGTTGTGGCATGACCGTTTTAGACATACAAATTTTAAATATTTTTGTATGTTGTTTCCTGTTTTGAGCAATGCTTGTATTGGTGGTAAACTTGACTGTGTTATATGTTCCCTATTGAAACATGTTAGGACTAGTTATATTCCTCGCATGCACCAGTCACCCAAGCCATTTGACCTAATACACTATGATATTTGGGGATTCTCTTCTGTTACTGCTCTGTCAGGTGCCTGATACTATGTGATATTTATAGATGATCATACCAGTTATACTTGGGTCTACCTTTTGTATAGAAAGTCTGATATACTCCCTATAATTACTCACTTTCTACAGATGATTAAGACACAATTCAATGTCATTGTTCGTGCTCTTCGTTTGGATAATGCCAAAGAATATGTGTCTGATGCTTTAGTGTCTCACCTTTCTTCCCAAGGTATCCTTTAGCAACTCACTTGTCCATATATTCCTGAGCAAAATGACGTTGCTGAAAGGAAAAATAGGAGTCTAATAGGGATGATATGTTGTATGCTTAGAGGCATGGGGGTGCCAACATTTTATTGGCATTTTACTATTTTGACTTCTACCTTTCTGTGCAATCGTACGCCGAGTCTTGTTCTTCTGCATAGGGCTCGTTTACAGGTTTTATTTCCTAAGTGAACACTTTTTTGGCCCTCCCTCATGTTTTTAGATGCACATGTTTCGTTCAGGATCAGTCTCCTATTCGTTATAAGCTTAATGATAAAGCAATTCGTTGTGTCTTTGTGGGCTATCATCATCAGTCTAAGAGGTATCGATGTTATAATCCTGTTAAGCGTCGTATGTATTACAATTTAGATATTACCTTTCTTGAGCATATTCCTTATTTTTCTTCCAGTCCTGTGTCTGCCCCTCCAGTTGATGATACTTCCTTTGATTTTCCATTACCCCCAAAGTCAGAGTCATTGATCACTATCACTACAGAGTCATCGGTCTCTCCTCCTCCAGAGCCACTCATCCCTGGTACAGAGTCACCAGTCTCTTTTCCTTTATAGGTTTATGTTCGTCGTCCTCGCTCTCATCCCTTGCTGATGTCCCCTCTACCTTAGGCAATGCAGATAATACTTCTCAATTCGTAGAGCATATTGATGCATTTATTGTTAGTACTGATAAGATTGCAGGTACTGAGCCAGTTGTTTTACCTGATGAGACATTGTCAGTGGAGGATAATAATTTAGGGCATCGTTATCCGCAGCGTGATCGTTGTCCAGTTGTTCATTATGGTTAGACTGCTAAGATTTTATACCCGATCTCTGCTTATGTTTCTTATGGTGATTTGTCTCTTATATTTCGAGCTTATAGTATGACCTTATCAGATACGCCGATTCCTCGCCTTGTTTCAGAGGCTATGCGGGAGTCCCAGTGGGTTCTTGCCATGCAGACAGAGATGGACACTCTTCAGTGTAATTATAAGTGGGATCTTGTCTCTTTACTTTCAAGGGTGAAGCCTGTTGGCTATCGCTGGGTTTACACCTTGAAATTTTTTGCGGATGGTATTATTGATCGTCACAAGGCTAGGCTTGTGGCGAAAGGTTTTACTCAGGTACCAGGTCGTGATTTTGGTGCTACCTTTGTCCCTGTGGTAAAATTGACTACTGTTCGATTGATTATTTCTCTAACTGCAGAGTACTCTTGGTCTCTTCATTAGGTGGATGTGAAAAATGTATTTTTTCACGGTGATTTGGATGAGATTATTTATATGGATGCACCACCGGACTTTCGTGGTGAGGGGGAGTATGCTGAAAAGGTATGTCGACTGCGTAAGTCTCTTTATGGACTGAAACAGTCACCACGAGCCTGGTTCTCTCACTTTAGTGATATAGTTGTACGTTTAGGGTTCACCAGATGTCATTTTGATCTTACATGCTTCATTCGACGGAATACTTCTAGACAGTGTGTCATCCTTTTAGTATATGTTGATGATATTATTATTATTGGAGATGATGTTTCTAGAACTGCACAGGTCAAGGTAAACCTTGGGAAAGCCTTCGATGTGAAGGATCTTGAATTTTTACGATATTTTCTTGGAATTGAGGTTGCCCGTAGTAGCAGTGGTATTATTCTTTCTCAGAGAAAGTATGTTCTGGATCTTCTTTCAGACACTGGGATGCTAGGGTGCAAACCGACATCATCACCCATGATTCCAAACCTGAAGCTTACTGCTGAAGGTGAGGAGTTAAGAGATCCGACTGTCTATTAGAGGTTGGTAGGTAGACTTATCTACCTAGCCAACACTAGGCTAGATATTTCATTCGTTGTTAGTCGAGGTAGTTAATTTATGCACAGACCATGTCAGCCTCATCTTGATGCAGTTTATGATATTCTTTGATACCTCAAATCTTGTCCTGGACTTGGGTTGTTCTATGCATCAGGATCTCAGACTGGTTCTTTGGACTATTATTTAGATTCAGATTATGGAGGAGCATGTGACGATCGATCTACTACAGACTTCTGTGCTTCGAGGGACTCATCTTATCTCTTGGAAGAGCAAGAAAGAGTCAGTTTTCTCTCGCTTGTCAGCAGAGGCAGAGTATCGGGCACTGACACTTGGCACATGTGAGATTATCTAGTTACGATCGATTCTTGGTGAGTTGGGATTACCTGTGACTTCTTCATCTACATTATATTATGACAATCGATCTGTTATTCAACTTACTTCTGACTCTGTATTACACGAGAGAACGAAGTATATAAAGATCGATGTTCACTTTCTTTGGGAGAACATTAAAAGTGGTATTGTCACTCCATTGTTTGTGAGGACCAGTGATCAGGTTGCGGATGTTTTTACCAAACCTGTCACTCTATCCATTCTTCGGGACTCAGTTGTCAAGTTTGACTTAGTTGACATTTTTGCGCCTAACTTGAGGGGGAGAGTTGGAGATATAGCAGCGGCCTAGTTTATTAGGGCTTATTAAANTTTTTCGTGTACCTCTCGATCTGAGTAATGTCAAGGATTGCATCCATCCCACTTGCCTTAAGAAACCTGTCAACATAGAATAAACACGAATATCATCCAAAATAGCCTGGGTTTCAAGAAATAAACTTACCTTTTAAACAATTTTTTAAATAAAAATAAATTTTTTTCCAAAAAGTAAAAATATTTTTGATTATTATTTTGAAAAAGTGATCCGCATGTTCTTAGTATATGAACAATACACTTAGGTATATACATATATGTATTACTATGTAAGCGATTAAGCTCGAAGGAAAAGAGCTAATCCAAACAAGAATAAGCATAAAAGCCCATGTTTAAAAACAAACGCTAGAACAAAAAGTACTAATAAAAAATAAAAAAATAGAAAAATACGTAGAAAACTTTTTTTAAAAAATTATTCTCTCTTTTTATTTTTGTTTTTGTATTTCTTTATCTAACGGTACAGAAATTTTTTAATGATGAAATGGGGCGTACTTATCTCTTAGTACTCTTGCCATGGATAGGCAGCCTCCGGGCACTGTAGATTGCATATTAACGGCTATATTTGGGTTGTGAATACTCTGCCGAAGGTGTACCCAACCATACTCTCCATGTTCATCATCTGAAACTTTAGACCTGAATTTTAAGCAAAAAAACACAGATTTTAATACAACACAAAAGAGTACATGTTCTTCATCCAATAAGAATGAATCGTAAATTCAGATATTTGCATTCGAAATTTAGTAACTCTCTTAGAGCTAAGTTATGATGGATTTTTCACTTATGAATTTTTCACTTATGGATTCTCAAGTACAAGTGTGAATGACCTGACTTTGATCAAACTAAATGGAAGATTAATCGAAATATGCATAAACTGTTCTGGACACTTTTTACTATAATATCAAATACAACAAAATAATCTACGGTCATCAAAGATTGTCTAAATTCCAAGTTCAGCTTATATTGTACCTGTACATATGAGCGTCAATGGCAGCAGGAGTGTCATTGGAGTCCACTAGGCAGCCTTCACTCACCCAGCAGTCTCCACAGGAGTCCAACACCCACCCTTGTATCCGACCTTCCTGCAAGTAAGTAGCAAGTTCGTTACAGTTAAATGAATCGTGTCGCGTTTAGTGTCTAAATGGTTTCATGTCAAAATTGGCACTACTTCTGTTAGAGAAAGAGAAGAAGGCTTAAATTCTCTGGTGTATTTTATTGTAAAGATACAGCCGGATATATATACATGAAGAAGGAGACAAAATCTCTAAATCAATGCTAAAATTTCTAGACAATAGTACACGTGAATGACCATGAGATTGGTCAAGATACTCAAAGCAAGGAAACTAAATATATTCCTAAACTATATATTGAATGTAAATATATTCTTAATGATACATTCCTAATAACTTCATCCACAACACTTTTGTCAAGCAGCTCCCTCCAAAGAAAAAAAAAACTTTATCGTCAGTTTTTGTTTAAATGGTTTGCTTCCAGTGACCGGAGATTCCTTTTTGTCAGGTTAACCAGTTGATTTTCTTCTCTCTCGAATATTCAATCAAATCTCTCTCTCTCTCTCTCTCTCACTCTCTCAACCACTTCTAACTGTAATGCTCTGTTTGATATGGTAAAAAAAAATAAAAAAAAAATTTGGAAGGATATATAAAATATTATGTTTAGTAAGAAAGAAAAATATGAAGGATGAAAAAGTGGATAAACAAGCTTTCCTTTTAATTCAGCAAAATCAATCTCTCCAAAATTAGAAGGTAAGTAGATGAAAAATTAATTATTTGTATTGAAATGTATTTTATTTGTCTATATATCCTTCATATATACATATATTATGTGATGGAGTATCGGAAATAAGAGCCCAAGCCCAATCGATGAGTTGTTACTTGAATTAGTGAGTTCGATTGAGTTTGAGGTTGACTTGTGAATAATGAAAGATATAGAGTATAAGTAGTTCACCTTAACCGAAATACTGAGACTACGTCCACTGTAATGCAGTCTCTTGCTCCTTAAGATTAAATTATAGGCACTGAGCCTTTACAAGGGCTTATGCTTAGTTCGTTTGTGTATCTAGGGCTGAGAAATACAGTGGGGAGTCCTTTTCTGGTAGGTTGACATTATTCTATTTATACTAGTCCTTTCTTTTAGGGTTACCGGTGGCTCCTTCTGCCTTTTTGTTGATTCTATGCGGTCTCCCATCACTGTCCTACAATAGTCGCTGTCGTTCGGCGTTGTTATGCTCATGATCTCTAGATCGTTAAGCGCACTATCACTCTCTGTGTCTTAGAGGGTGCAACTATTACAAGCGTCAGATATGGTCTCCTTATCCTTTGGACACGTAGCATGGTTGGGTGCTCCCAGGGCGAGGACTTGGTTTCTCAATACCGGGTTATCCTTTGGCTAGTCGTTGAGTTAGGCCTGGACTGCGCTGCTGGTCCTCTAGTGTTGTTGGGCTCTCTCCTTTCGACCCTCTCTACTCTTCGACGTATGTTGATCGGGGGTTCTCCCTTTGGGTTAATAAACAGGCGAGGATCTTTTGGGCTTATTGAGCTCCGAGGTTATGGCGGTTCATACTTAAAATTCAGCCTTTATCATTATGTATACATTAATTTCATATATAAATACAAATTATATTTTTATTTTTTTAAAAAAAATTAAAAATACAAATTTTAAAAAATAAAAAATACAAATAAAAATAAAAAATAAAAAATATATTTTTTCATCTTATCAATCACCAAAAAAAAAAAATTATTTATATTTTTCATCCATTCAACCAAATATAAATGAAAAAAAATGTATCATTTTCACTTTCTTTTTTTGAAAAATAGAAA